GGGCAGGTGGCGGGGTCATGAACTGTAACCTCCGGGGTCACCTGTCCGGCTGGCGGCGGAAAATGGGTGCTCCACCAGCCCGAAGTGGGATGAGCGCTAGCAAGGGAGTCGGTATGGGCCGGAAAGCAAATTTTCAGCACATTGAAGGTCAATCAATGCAATTTTGGATATGTTTGTCTCACATGAGGTCGGTGGTGAGCGTGCAGACACTGTTAAGAAACATTCGGGCAAGGGAACCTGCTCTGTTCCCCCTCCCCCCCCCCATCATGCCCACACCCCCCGAAGTTTGTCCTGTGACAGCGGCTGCAGCTGCTGCGTTAGCACGCGGTCAGCTTGCTAGCGGCACATACGACGACAGGCTCGGCTTTTCCCGTCGAAGCGAAGGGAAGCAGGCCTGACCTGCTATCGCTCCGAGGCCCACTGGTGTGGTAGGGAGAGACTCGTCCGCGGCCACCTGGCGGTCAGGGGACGTCGCACTGGAATGAGCTCAACGCGACATGAAGGGCCCAAAACACAGTGCTACAATGGTCTGGCTCCACTAGTAAGGTCGGAATTCGACGGTGAATCCCCCAAAAGCGCCGACTGATTACATAATCCCATTCCGCCGCAGCTTTCTCTGCTCCTCAACCGGATTCTACCGGAGCTTTATTGGTTTGAATATCAGGAGTTACATCAGCAACGACGAGTCCGAGAGTTTTTATCTGTACCTACTGGGTGCAGCATGGAGGACACTGGCAAGCCGAAATGGGAAAATGAGTTATATTCTGTAGGTCAAAGACCTTAAGTGATGAAGGGAATAAGCACGTTTGCCATTGGTCACCGCAGAGACACCGGGTCAAGTTCTCACGAGTTAACGCGCATGGCGAACAGCACGATCCAAGTCAAAGTTAGGACCGCGGTGGATGACGAAGTGGTAGTGGTAGTGGTTGCAGTGGCGATAGCAGCCACGAAAGCGGAGGCAAAGGCGCCGCCGAGCGGGAAGGGGGATGGGGTTAGGAGAAACGCGTCCGACTCGCTGTGTCCGTTGTGGAGACCGGTCCCCCTCCTGCTTTTGAAATTTAACCGCTTTTGATCATTTCGTGCACGGGTGTCCATATGCATTCTTTTGTGAGGGCCCTGACCCCCCAATGTTCAGTCGGGCCCACTCAATGTTGGCTTGCCCCCCCCACCCCCACACACTGTGTTTGGCTAGAATACTATTAAAAAACGTGGGTAAAAGATGATCACAACACAAAGACCATCTTCTTTGATCCTTCTGCGTAGTAGCGTCTCGTGCCACTCTTGTAACAAGAAGTCATGGTTGCTCTCACCGCAAGATATAAATCGTAACAGCTGAGCGGATAAACAATGCAATAAACTTCACGTACCTAGCGCTATAAAACACACAATGGTTTGCAAGGTTAAAATGAAAGCTCCGGAATATGGGGATGACCTAAGTCCTTGATGGCTTGATAGAAGAGCGCCATTGGCGCCCTAAGATGGCCTCTAAAGGGACGCTTTCACGTCCCGATTGGAAGAGTGCGTCCAGTGCCTGCTCCCTGGGTCCAACTCTGAACGACTTCAATACGGCTTAAATTAAATACTGTCATAAATTATACAAAAATTACAAACATATACTGCGTTTAATCAAAATAAAATGGCATAAATCAGGTAGGAAAAATGGGGGTGGGGAAGGATGTCGGGCCTCTGGTTCGGCCCTCCCATGATTTACAAAAACTAACACCCCTGATTTTGTGTTGACTTGGATGTTCCTTCCAGCGTCTGTGTGATCCTCTCTCGCCCTTTCCCACTGATGGCAGAATTCATTGGGCAAACCGAAGTGTATTTACCTTTCTACAGACCTGGGCTTGGTAAAATGCAAAGAAATGCGCCGGTCTGTTCATGGAGGATAAGCGAGCAAGAGTTTTACAAACTCTGTCTCATATTTATCTTCCGTATCTGTTTCAAAAATACGCGTCATGTATGGCGAGACGACTTAGGGAACGGATCTGCTGGTGTACATCAAGCTGGTCTTGGATTTCATGATTTACCAGCACTATATACACAGTATGCAAGGAATTGGATAGCCTCATCCATTCTATGACGAATCGTACGCTTTTCGCGGGCCCATGCGTCACACATGCTGTCTTATTCTGCTTCAAGTACCCATGGCCATATCTAAGTGCGAGTGTGTACGTTCGGCCTGAATTGGTGGGTCACACCACTTCAACACCAGCCCGAGCGTTGCTAGCTTGTGATGCACACGCATCAAATAATGCCTGTGAGCGTCAGTGGTATATATCAAAGCTGGAGCCACTTCCGCACCACATCAATCACGGGTCAACGCGGGGCTTCATTTGTATATTTCATTTATGCATTTATTATTCACGCCCAAAGAGGGAAAAACAGTTATGTTATGCCGGAAGAACGATGTCAGCGGTGAGCTACACTCCGGAAATTTCAAAGGAAATAAATTTGTTCATTCTCTTGGTTCTAAGCTGGTTAAATTACTTGGTTATTAGCTGGCTTATTCTATTGGCACCAAGCTGGTAAATTCTCTATCCCCATTCATATGCCTATCTAGGTCGTCCGGACAAGGTTAAAAGTTACTATTTATGAATTAAGCTTGCTGGCATCCCGACATACGTAAAGCGTTTGTTTTCTTTATGGGTCCAACGGGCGAGCCTAAGAATTTTGAGGGACATTAAGGGTTCAACAGATGTTTGTATCGTCACCAATCAAGGGCAAGCTCGAATCGTCGAAAAACGCATTGAGAAGTGCCAACATGATCCAAAAATACTCTCGTTTATTTAGTTCTCACTCTTCCTCACATTAATGATACGAAGCTCAAGCCGTGCACGCACACTTGGCCATTTACCGGCAGGAATGTTCAGACGCGAAGCCTGAGCGGCAGACGTATGTTGAACACATCAGGATCTGGCAGCAGCCAAAGAGCTGCAAACAGCTGGCAAACACGGTATTATGGTGCAGGCGGAAACGTAGGTTGGAACCGTACACGCCCGGTCACAGGCATTCAGGCCAGACTCTTGAAACACCTGATCTTTATAATATATATATATATATATATATATATATATATATACATATATGCATATATATATATATATGTATGTGTATATATATATGTATATATATGTATGTATATATATATATATATATATATATATATATCCTATCTGAAATGTAGGATGAACCCATGTGGAACTTTATTGCCAATAAAGGTACAGGCACATCTAAGACATTTCAGAAAATTAACGTTACGCCAATGATCTTGAATGGAGAGAGCAGAAGCACATTTCTCACTTGAATCCACGATTTTTTTAAAAAGGATTCAGCCAAATATTGATCCTGGTTGAAGGCTGCCGCAGACTCATCGCAAAGCCAAACAGACGAAGGCCTTCGTCCGGCCAGATGCAATAAACAAAATTGGTTGACCATTTGCTGTTGGCGGAACAACAGCTTTTCAAAGCAGTTTCTTTTGTTAACTTGCACACGTTAAAATATCTTGTCGCGAGACGAAGCCTGCGCAGCTCGAGAAAACATCTTCGACTACAATAGCGTTATTTTTGCCAGCCGTAGGACATTTTCTTTGCAGTTCGCCAGCAAAGCTGAGCCATTCGACATAGGCGAAAAGGGTGACAGGGCGAAACAACAAGGGCGAACGACAAGGGCGAAAAGGGTGGCATGTACTAACCACCTGTTCGCCACATGTTGAAGTCTAAGGCTTGCAAACTAATCGCAACGAACTCGCAAAGGGCGCGCATTGAGCAAGATGGCCATCAACGTCATGGGAACATGTATTTTCCACCTTGTCAATCCACTTAAATGAAACACACGCGGGTGCAACAAAGTAACGGGAAGGTCTGGTGAACGCGGCAACGCGGTGAACGATGGAACCGGCAAATCCAACCACAGTGGAAACAACAGATCGTGAGCACAATGCGTCCCCAAGGTCGGTGTTCTGGGGGGCCATTTGCCAGAAGCCGCCCTAGCGTGAGTGCTGCCCCCTGCCATCGATATGTCCCACGTTATATAAGGTTACCATGTACAGGATAGGTCTAGCACCTCAAAGTTCCATGACGTTTACCCACCCGTCTCAAATGAACCAAAAACGCTCTGGAGCGGACATCGCATCTTATGACCTTACGCTGTGCCTAGTCCGGTCGCCGACATCGTGACCCGTGACATCGCCAGTCCCGACCAGAGGTCGGGGGGATAGGAATGGGGGGGGGGGGGGGCACACAGCAGCCGCGAGAGGCGACGGGCGCGACGGCCGTGAGCGGTCCGAGCTGTCTCCCGTCCACCCCTCCTCGGACACGTGCGGAGGCCGCATAACAGCCGCGGGAGCCGAGCAGCGCCGTCAGATGACGGCCCGGCTGTAGTGCCTGTTTGGAACGGGCACAAAGGAAGCTCGCTGTGAGTCATGTGCTCCTGGAAGTGGCGTCGCGGTGGCGCGAAACGACGCCGCTTTGAGTGATGGCTGTCTGCGCCTGGTCCGCTCGCTGCGGAAGGGTTCAGCGGGCGTGCATGACTGTGTTGTCCGCACAGAACCCAGAGTTGGCTGTGCGCCAGTCGCCAAAATGTATCACATGTGTCAGTATTCCTGTTTCGTCTTATTTATCGGCGCTGTTGATTGGCTGCCATTTCTGGCGGTACCCCGGCCTGCGGCATGACACAACTAGGCCTGAGTTAAAATAGCCGCCACCGTAAGGATGCCAAGGCAAGGCCGTATCTTCCGCTACACGCGTTACCTGCACACCAATGCGGGAGCCCAGATGCATTCCCGAAGTTAGGCGCAGGCGACGACGTGTTATGCCTGTGCACCACTGACAGGCGGGGTGGAGGTCGGGACTTGAGGGATTGTCCTGGCTCAGCCGGCAGTGCACGAGCGCGGCCGGGCTCACGCCGTACGTTTGACCTTGGTCGGCGCCCACCGAGATAACCGATCTGGACGTCACAGTGGCCGCCCATCGCCCGGCCCGGCGCGTCTTCCTACCCACCTGTCCTGGCGCTCCAGCCGCGCCGCTCCGCCGCGTGGCACCCCTCACGCCGACCCCTACGGCGTACGCCGGCGTGACCCCGCACGTCCTGCGTGACACCGGCACGTCCCGCGCGCGCGCCGCCGCCACCCGCACCTCCCACCGGCCCGGCACGGCCCGTACTGCCGGCCTCCCACCTGACTGCCGCCCGCGCCGCGCGCGCACGCAGCCGCAAGGGGGCGGCGCCTGCGGCTCGGGGGCGGCCCCTGCCGGGCCAAGGTCGCGCGCGGCCGCTCTGACCCGCCGTACCATGTGACCGAGAACGGCGACTGCACGCGCGCGGGCGGCGCGCGCGGGAGTTCCCCGGGAGAAGGGAAGGCCGCCGGGGGTGCGGCGCCGCGCCAACGCCTGCCGATTTCGACGCTCACGTGGGGGTGTGGCGGGATGCCCTGTGCTGTTGTGGGGGCTGTGCACAAGTGGTCCGGGCGCGATCACAGTTCAACGCAGGGACGCGGAGGCCCATGTTCGGCAGTCCGCACCTTCGCTGCCATTAGCGGCCGCACGGGAGGCATGCAACAGTAGCCACTAGCCAGCGCCGGCACCGGCCGAATAAAAACGGCGCCAACCGCGCGGCGGCCAGAAAAAGGGCGGGAAAAAGTCGGTCGGCCGCTGAGAAGCGTACATGCCTCCCATTGTTCCGCTGACGGGCCGAGATGTAATGAGCGGGGACCACCTCGGCCCGGTGCCTGGTTACAAGCCGCCCGCGGGGCGGCCAGGTGCGGGACGCGCCGCGCAGAGATTGGCCCGGACGCCCGCGCTAGGTCGGCGTAGACCCCGTACTGGGTCGGACTCGGGTGTAGCCAGGGTTTCCATAAGGAAGTGGCCCCGAGGGCTCAGTAAGTCACGCCGGTTTCTAACTTTCTGTGGAGAGCCCCTTGTGGTGAAAAACGGAAAGTCTGGGCGTAAGGGGCGGACGTCTCTTCGGACCCCTCCCTCGGCTACGCCCAGGGCCGGACCGATCGATGTGGACAAAACATGGGGTATGAAGACGCATCTGCAGCACCAATACTCTTTTCCCTGGCCATATGGATAGGGAGGGGGAGCGCAGAAGATCAAAATGCTTTTGCTGCAGCATGTTGAGTTGGCTAAGACTTGTTGACAAAGGGCTGTTGCCGGGTATGTGACATTCAGCTGTGATGAATGTCCGCTGAAGTATCTGAATATGATCTGAATATTTCATTGAATTCTGAATAGCGTTTAGAGCTCGCTGTGCATGTACTCATGTCTTCATCAGCATGCGCGCACAGGGATGTGCACGCCACGAACAGGGATGCAGTCTCTCACTCAGGTGAGTTGTGGGGGCGGGGGGCAATTCAGCCTCTGCAAACCTGGGGTCCAGCTGCGCTCCCCTGAACTTCGAGAAGAAAGGGGTAAAATTCGAGGAGAATCCTGTTTGTTGGCGTATTTTAGGGGTAGGTTAAGTAGATTTTCACTGTTCAGCCCCCCCCCCCCCATCCACAACTCATTTTGGGAACATCCTTGACTATTCACGAAAGATCCGTGAATGCAATATTAGCGGTACAATATTTGTGTAATGCATTCAGCGAAATCTAAAACGATAGGTGAAGCCTCTTGTTTCACAAGTTCAAGCGTCCTGATTCTGAGGTAATTTCAGTTCCAGGAGGTTAATTTCGCAAAACAAGTAAGGGGTTTGACAGTAACCAAATAACTAATCCTGCCTCATCCCTAAATACACTAACAAATGGGTTTTCCATGGGTTTGGCCCACTTTTCTCTCAATGTCGGGGGACAAGGGCTGGACCCCAAGTTGGGCGGGGTGGGAGGGGTTTCACTCCCCCCCCCCTACCCCACCCCACAGCTGAATAGGAAAACGCACCCAATTCAGTCTCATTTTATATTGCATTTTCAATAGTTATCAACACTCACGATGCCCATTATTGCATTACTATTTTTGAATTGTGACAAAGTCCATGATTATTTGAATGCAGTGACGACCTACGGTATTGCATCGGGTGTCCAACCTGATGTGCCATACTTACTGCACTAGACTAACTCCGATGGCCAGTGTTGCATATGATTGCCCCCACCCACCCCTCCATGTCTTCCGACCCTGCGAGTCTAGCGCCTCCCGTCATGTATATGTGACGCGTCTCTGGCGGTCGGCACCGTGATGCGGATAGCTACATGGTGGCTCTGAGCACCACACAGCGAGAGCGTGACAGTGAGAGCGAGCTGTAATAGCCTCGTGGCCTCCCCCAGACCGGCGGTGACAACCCAGATAGCGTCGTCTCCCGGCCCAAACGTCAAGACCTGGCATCGCCACCGAAGGCTCACGACCAATCACGACCAAGCACCGCATCTTGCGTAAATTACCGTCGGAAGGGTCTTGGTCTGTTGCCCTAAATCGAATTTGAAGTTGCTTATTGTCGAGGCCGCCAGGCTCAGAAAGACGTTTTTTAGACTCAAGCCGCTAGCTGATTTTCGAGGTCCTATTTTATTCCCTGGAAGGCTTTAAATGCCTAGATGCAATTGACAAGCTCTTAGTGGTTACCGAAAACCTCTCTAATTCACAGACTATAAAAACACGAGGCGCAGCCCCACGACAAGCACCGTTACCAGTGCGACCTTAACTGGTCTTCCCGTTAGCAGTTGGTCGTCGCATCGGGCCGCGCCGGCGGCGCCGCGCTGCGACGGCTCGCAGGTGCCGACAGCCGACGACGGGTGGCGCCATCGCCGGCTATCGCGTCATCGCGGCCGCCGGCGTGTTCAGGATCGCCGCCTGCGCCTGCCACCCTCGCCGGTGCCTTACAGCGCCCGGGGGCAGGTGCGGTATAATGCCGCGATTCCTGGAGCTGTAGGTCGCTCTTTCGCTAGTTTCGTGGAAGAAACGGAAAGCTAGGAAATGTGTACCACATTTTCTTGTGGGACTGGTGTAGGGTTTTCGTGTGACGTGGTCAGCAAAGATCGCAGTGGAGAACACAGCAGAGCGTCAATCTAAAAAGAGGACCATTCTACGTCCGATGAAATGATCACACTGTTCGGAAGACACGTTTAACGGTTTGTGGGAATCCAATCGCTTGGATTGGCTCAGGAAGTGGGTAGTACAAATCGCGTGTTAAAGCAAATTATTTCGAACCATCGCCATCGGCAGGTTTTGTAGGCAAAAGAAAATAGTGATGATGGAAAGCAAGCTCAGTGATAACTGATTGTTACCTCAGCTTGGCTGAGACCTTGACAATGAGAACAGTCGAGGGTGTACTCAAGGGATGCGGGTCATGCCCTCTCTCTAAGCCAAGAATTTGCTATAGATACCCGGCGATGTTGCAGGAATTCGGTCCAAATTAGCTAGAACACGGATAAAATTTGACCTCGCTCCCTTCAGGAAAATTATGCATGCATGCATCAGAACAGTATAGCTTGTGATGATCCCACCGATATAGCAATGCGCAAAAAACGACGTAGGATGATGGCAAGAAGTCATAACCTTAGTTGGTCCACTTTGCCTGCATTGCTAGTGTCATGACATGTCATGGCTAGACTATGCGGCCCATTTGTGCAGCATACACCACCAGCAGCTTTTATTACCATAAACATTATGTCGTTAACCATAATCTGACCATACCAAAAACTCTATTTGCTTTCTTTTCAATTCACCGGAACAGATATTCATACTTTGTTACGTGCGGTGATATCAAACAAAGCGATGGCGTTAGTTTACTTAGTATAAAAGCTGGTTACTCACTGACAAGCTGTCGCGATACACTCTGCTTTGCACCAGCCCATAAACCTTTCATCTAGCAGCTAGTGGTGTCACACATTCGTTGGGTCATGATATTTGCCGTGACACGTTACTCACGAAACCCATGGCTTGCGCAGTAACCAGCCGCAGCTTCACATGCTGCCGTCACCTGAAAAACAGCATCCGGTCGGTGGCCATCACCACCAGCTTGAGCACCGATCTGGCATCAGTTTCGGCTCTTGATGACACCAATTAGTGCCATGACCAGGATAGCTTCACGGCGCGAGAACTCCTTCCATTGTTTGAGCGCGCGCCAGGTCCGACCACTGATGCAACACCACGATCAATCCTTGATCGCCGACCTGCCACCGACACCAGCGTCAGACGCACCTCGCTCATAACGTCAGACGCACCTCACTCATAACGTCGGACGCACCTCACTCATAACGTCAGACGCACCTCACTCATAACGTCAGACGCACCTCACTCATAACGTCAGACGCACCTCACCCATAACGTCAGACGCACCTCACTCATAACATCAGACGCACCTCACTCATAACGTCAGACGCACCTCGCTCATAACGTCAGAAGCACCTCACTCATAACGTCAGACGCACCTCCCTCATAACGTCAGACGCACCTCACTCATAACGTCAGACGTACCTCACTCATAACGTCAGACGCACCTCACCCATAACGTCAGACGCACCTCCCTCATCAGACGCACCTCACTCATAACGTCAGACGCACCTCACTCATAACGTCAGACGCACCTCACCCATAACGTCAGACGCACCTCACTCATAACATCAGACGCACCTCACTCATAACGTCAGACGCACCTCGCTCATAACGTCAGACGCACCTCACTCATAACGTCAGACGCACCTCACCCATAACGTCAGACGCACCTCACTCATAACATCAGACGCACCTCACTCATAACGTCAGACGCACCTCGCTCATAACGTCAGAAGCACCTCACTCATAACGTCAGACGCACCTCCCTCATAACGTCAGACGCACCTCCTCATAACGTCAGACGCACCTCACTCATAACGTCAGACGTACCTCACTCAACGTCAGACGCACCTCACCCATAACGTCAGACGCACCTCCCTCATAACATCAGACGCACCTCACTCATAACGTCAGACGCACCTCACTCATAACGTCAGACGCACCTCACACATAACGTCAGACGCACCTCACTCATAACATCAGACGCACCTCACTCATAACGTCAGACGCACCTCGCTCATAACGTCAGACGCACCTCACTCATAACGTCAGACGCACCTCACTCATAACGTCAGACGCACCTCACTCATAACGTCAGACGCACCTCACTCATAACGTCAGACGCACCTCACTCATAACATCAGACGCACCT